TGCAGGATTGGCGTCTCTAAGACTCCTTGACAGAAGATCTTCAAATTTGGGCACTGATCCACAATTACTCTTTCTAAAGATGGGAATTTGAAGATGAAATTGCCTGAACAGAAGCTTGAAAGTCTTGTTAAACATTCCAGTCTCAAATATCTTAATTCCTTGAAATTGATCTCTTCGTTTGTTGCAGGCTTGTCTTTTTCTACTATTTCTATGACCTCTTGGCATTCTCGTATACTCAATGACTTGAGTTTCACCAGGCTTTGTGCTGTTGAGAGTGAAACCAAGTTTATGACTTTGTGGCAACGCCATACATCGAAAGTTGTGAGAGTTGGGAAAGATGCTGTTGATATTGATAAGCCAACCAAACTCGTACAACGCCACACTTTAAGGGTTTCAAGATTTTGAGGAACACTTGAGTCTTGGCTCCATATATGCCTGGAATTGGGAAGACCTTGTAGCTTCAATTTTCTAATACTTGAGTGCTTCCCTATAGAATTAGAAGGGAATAACTTTTCGAAATCACAAGAATCCACCACAAGCTTTTCCAGATGGGGGAATTTTTGAATGAAATTGATTGAACGCACAGTTGACTCATCACAATAGCCCTGAATCCGAAGAACTACGATGTTGTTAAAGGGGCCTGCTGTAGAACGTTGGTCCTCAGATATGATTGATCTAATGTTCTCATCTGTTAATGATAATTTCTTCAATTTAGGGAGGTCCTGTAAACCAGTTACAAGAGAATAAATCCTTGTTATAGTTAAAATGTATACATATTGCTCTTCATGGATAGAAACCGCACAAGAAAGCATTTTACAACTCCAATTTAAACCTTTCAGACTTTCACACATTTTATGAATGATTTCAAACCTAAAAGGGAGCATACACATAAACCAAACCTTACTTAGCAACCTCACATTTCCCATCAGTTAATAATAGTTGTTTTATTTTTTATTTTCTAGAGAGGTTTTAATTTGACAAATTGGGGGTAAAAGCATGCACAATGGAGAACAAAAAAAAAAAAAAATTTCTACTACCACATCATCATAATTCATATTATTTTATATAAACTCATATTTTTATATATTAAATCTTTAAATAGAACACCTAATAGAATAAACCTCCTCCAAGGTATGGAACTTTCTTAAAAATTACACTTTTATTATTTTATCCAATTAACATTTTATAAAATTTAAATAACAAAATTTTGAATTAATTAAAAATAATAAAGAAAAAAAAAAGGGCCTTTGATCGAATGGCATAGGCTGCGGGATTAAAGGATCGCAAAGTCGAGCGCTGTAGCAAGATTGAAAATTTTTTTGGGTTAAAAAATAAAAACCCAACATGTTGCATGCTAAGAACGTTTCTCATTTTAGAACTCTTCTCTAATGGACCAAAACTCTGTCTTTGTCCTATTTTAGGAAAAGAAGAAGCAAATAGAGCACCATTGTACATGCACTAATAAAAGCTAGCTAAAAGGGATCATACCTTTTCCAGAGAGAAAAGTGGGAGTTCAACAGCGGATTCAGCTTGGTCCGGCTTGTTTGTTATCTCCGTTTCACCACAATGATAAGAGTAGAACTTCTCTAATGCTGGCCAACTTTTCTTGTGTTTCCCTGGGTAGAAACATCTAAGTCCTGGCAGGGAGTGAAGTATAAGGCAGGATAAGGAATCAAACTCAAAGTTGACTTCTTCTTTGACCGCTGATTTCCTGGCAACAATTTCCTCCAGACTAGTGCAGGATTGTATTTTCAGCCTTTTAAGTTTGAAAAGGCTTTTGGCCAAAGAAAATGGAAACAGATGGTTGAGACTCTCACATCTGGAAACTGTCACTGATTCCAAGTTCTGAAAAGTGTCAATTTCTTGGAGATCCTTATTCCATACATGCTTTAATCTTGGTAGCTGATCAATGTACAATTCTTTAAATTGATAGTTTTCAGCATCTGATTCTGTTATTTGAGCATCTGATGCTGTGATCTCTGACTGTTGTCCAAGTTCAAACACCTCTTCTACTGAGCTGCAACCAATTATTTCTAACTTCTCGAGGGACTTCAAGAGTTTTCTCAGCAAGTCATTGTTAGATGGAAAAATGAATGATAGATTCTGACAATATGTAACTCTCAATGATTTTAAGTTGCAAAAGGAATTTTCCCCAAGTTTTTTCCATATCATCATCGAGTTGTTAAAGTGAGAGATACTCAACCGTTCCAATTTAGGAAATGCAATCTGCATTGTTCATTGAAGAGAAATGATTAGTTCTCAAATCCCAAAAATTAAATTCAAAATGCAAGATAACGAAAACTAACCTTCTCATCAAAGAGGGCTTCGCTCATAGATTCTGATTTCACGAATCCATTCAGCTTTGGGCATTTCTCTATAGTCAACTGCTTCAAGTATGAGAACTCAGTACAATAATCTTCGGAGCAGAGTGCGATCAGGTTCTGAAGGTCTTCTATGCTCAGGAAGTTTAATCTTTCAAAGGAATTTTCCTTCTTAGGGAATTTGCGCCATAGGATCTTCAAGTTTTTCAAGAGGGAGATAGTCATCCTTTCCAAATTAGGAAATGCAACCTGCATTGTTCATTGAATAGCAATGAAATTAGTTTGCAAAATTCAATCCAAAATGCAAGTAAATTAAAGAAAATTTACCTTCTCATCAAAGAGAGCTGTGTCAGTGGTGCTAGTAGAGTCTACCACGAACCCCTTCAGCTCTGGGCAGTTCTCTATAGCCAATTGTTTCAATGATGGGAACTTGATTCTGTAATTTCCTGAGTAGAATCCAATGAGGTTTTGAAGGTTTTCTATCTGCAGGAAGTTTAAATCACGGAACGAAATCTTTTCTTCTGCATTTTCTGTGTCTTCTGAATAGGTATATTTTGTATACTCCGTGTCTTCTGAATAGGTATATTCTGCATATTCTGTGTCTTCTGAATCGGCATCTTCTGCATTTTCTGTGTCTTTTGGTTGGGCATCTTTTTCATTTCCTGTGACAATGATTTCTCTCAGCATCTTGCATTCCCTTACTTCGAGGTGTTTAAGCTTCTTCAGACATCTAATAATAGAAGAGGAGAATATATATTCTAAATTATTACAGCCCTCAATTATCAGTTTTGTCAGCTTCCATTGGCTGGCAGGTATTGGTGAAAGTCCGGGAGGCCATATCGTTTTAATATTAATCCAGGATAATTGCAACTCCTGCAGCTCTGGCACCTCAAGCTGCACAACACATGTCATTCTCTTTTTAGGAGAACATCTTAATTATTTTGTTGACAAGGAAAAAATATATAAAGCGTGATTAGGTTCCAACGCAAAATACAATTTATTCAGTATGTTTGGGACAATAAATAAATCAAATTTCAATTTGTTCCAGTTATACAATTAAGTTGATCGCTAACAGCTATCAGTTACTCATCAGACTCATCTGACTAATTTATGCTAAGATCTTACTATTCTCACTATATCTTTCTAGTCTTGCACTGCAAAAAATGCTGTAGTATGAAAATATGAAAAGAAGTAAACAATTGGTTGTGTACCTTTTCATTGAAAAATGAAATGTTTGCATCCTTTTCTTGGCTGAAGCTAATGAACTTTGGCAGATGTTGTAACCTCAAGCACTTAAGGTGGGCAAGCTTAATTACATCAGTTGCTTCAGTAATATCATCAGTGTCTTCTTCCTCTTCTTCATCCCCTTGCCCCTCATCATAAAAAATCTCTACTATTTCGCTGCAGTCTGTCACTCTAATTTCTTGAAGATGAAGAAGCTGCTTGGCTATAGAGAAGGAGAACAAATTCTTCAGCTTACCACAACATTCTACACTAATGATTCTTAACTTCTTAAGAGATGTTTGTTCAAATTGGCCATAAAATATCTTTTCCATCGTCATCAATTTGTGAAGAAATAACACTTCCAAGTTGGGAAAGACTTTGCTACGAATCCGCATCACCGAGTTAAAAAACATATGTTGAATCTTTGGATCGTTCTTGACATGGAGATGCTTTAGTTCTTGAAAACCATGGTCATCTAACTCATTAACTACATTCTTGACACCATTCAACATCTCCAGATGCAGTTCCTCTGCCTTGTTTAGCAACTTTCTGACTGAATAATCAAAACTAGTGCTTCCATCCAGCTTCAGCTTTAACATTTTCGAGTTTTCAAAAGAACTGTCGACCCAATAATTCCACACATCTCCTATGAAAATCTTGTATCGTTCCAATTCTACAGAGAATAAGCCGACTGGAATCATCTTGATATCATGAATGCGAACCTCTAAAGCGGTCAAGTTTTCCAATTGTCCCAACTCATCAAGGCTGGCATTTGTTTTATTGTCAGACTGCCACTGGTCAAAGCTATTTCCCAGATATAATTCTTCTAACTGGGTTAATTTTGACAAGACATCTCGTGGAATTACTGTGAGTTTAGTACAGTCACTCAAATCTAAAAACTTCAGTCTTATCAGCTTCCCTATATCCTCTGGCAGCACCTGGATATCACACCTCGCAAGGCTGAGGACTTGCAAATTCTTCAGCTCCCCAATAATAGAGCCTATGTATGAATTTTCATCAAACTCACTCTGATCCAGACATAGGGTATGAAGATTTATTAGGAGTGAAATTGACGGGGGGATTGACTTAAAATGCACTTTAGTCAAACCCAAAACCCTGAGTCCTTCCGCTCCCCTAAACAAGTAACTTGGAATTGCTTGACGATCATTGTTGGCAGAAAAATGAAAGAAAGTGAGCAGTGGACATTTCAACTCAGCTGGAAGCTCACTAGCATCAACATTTGATAAATAAATCCATTTGGATTTTTTAAATGCCTTCTCGTTTAAACTGTCCTTAGCTGCATCTTTCCTGAAGGATAGCACACCATGGTCCCCAGAAGCGATTGATATGGCAACTCCTCGAATTGGTTCATGCATATCAAACTGCATATTGCTACCGCCAACCAGCAACAAAGAATAGTCTCTTATCAGTTCATTCACCAATTTCAGTGCTTCGTCTCTTGCTTTCTCCATAGATTTGGCTCTTGGGAATAATCCCAATCCTATGCCATACTTCAACAAGTCTTGAAGGCCAGCATTATGACCCATTAGACTACAAAGCAATAGAGTTTGTTTGAGTTCCTTGCTTTTCAAATCACTATATCTCAACTCGATAGCTGAATAGAGGCTTGGTGACATCCCACTCAAATTTGGGTTCTTTTGAAGCCGAAGTAGAGTAATCCTCCACTTTTGCGGATCCTTATCTTTCAAAGTATCTGCAAGTGTTGCAATGCCAATTGGTAATCCTCCACACCTCTTGGAAATCTCCTTTGCAATAATCGGCAAAAACTGATTTCCAGCCTTCTCACCTGCTTTCTTCATCTTCTTATAAATATTCCCCAAACTTACAGTCTTCCGAAAAAGCTTCCATGCTTCTCCATCTTCTAACATGGGAACTTTAACAATTATTTGAGTATGCATGCCGCCGTCGTGTGATAAAACACGAGGATTTCTAGAGGTCAGCAATACAGTATACTCTGATGACATTTCCTCATTCTTTTCCCCTGGAAGCTGCTTGAGCTTCTGTTTGTTTCCATAAGGAATCCCAACTTTCTCCAAATCTATTCTTTCCCAAATATCATCTAAAATGACAAGAACCTTCCTGTTCGTCAGCCTTGACTTTATTCGATCAGCAGCTTCCTCCCGTGTAACTCTATTATGTAGCTCTATTCCCAAGTCAAGTGCGATCTCATCTTGAATTGTTTTCAAGTCTGGATTCTCTGTCACTTTAGCCATAACAACAACATCAAATAGCTTCATTTCCTCAGCCTTTGCTTTAATTTGTTCAACCAGCATCGTTTTCCCCACACCAGCCGCCCCGTGCACTCCTATGCTGTTGATCCCTGGACTTAGAAATGCCTCCATGATATCCGTTAGAACACTCCTTCTGGAGTTGAAGTTCTCATAACCACCAAAATTGGCAGCCTCAGCCAGTTCTTGAATTCTCCTCAAGAGATCGACATCTCGCTTTTGAACAGTAACAGGAACTGAAGGGCGGGAAATCACGCCATAACCCCGATATTTATCAATCAGGATATGAGCGTGTTCGATATGCTCGACTGCTGCCTTGCTGAATCGGTACCGATGCTGGAGATTAGGACACCATCCGAAGCAATACCTCTTCGTGGCTAGATTTCTGTCATGCAATGCCTTCATTTCACTAATTAATCTTTCTGTTCCATTCATCCAACGGTTGACCGCAGGTCTAATCATCTCGCCTAGTCGTGCAGCCTGATCAATAGAGTGCTGCAAGATATCTCTGTCTTCCTTCAGCTCTGAAGCCAATTTTTGCATAGTCTTTTGATTATGTTCAAAGTTAGAAACGAATATGATAGGTTTCATAAACAAACTATTAAACATATTGCTACAAACATTCACAGCCGACAATGTAATTTCCATCTTGTGTTATTTTTAATTTGGGTTTTGGGAGAGAGATGAGAAAAAACAAAGCAAACTACATAGAAAACAAGTGAACAACTTGAGAAAAATGTAAAAGAAAAAAAAAAGGAAAGAAAATCAGGCGCAGATAACAAATGGAGACTACTTAAAGATAATACAAGTAAAGGTCGTTCAAAAAAATAAATAATAATGGAAGTAAAGAAAACAAGCGAGAAAATAATAATCCGTGCTCACAAGATTAATTAGAGAGAAAACAGGCTAAAAACTTGGCACGACGAAAGAAAATCAAACGCGGATAACCAATGGAGATTGTTTGAGATAATGGAAGTAAAAAAGAAAAAGGGGAGGTTTTTTATTTTTATTTTTAAATTTCGTGTTCTTGTCAATTTGGGTTTTGGAAAATATGCGAGGAAACACCACTGGAGAGGAAACAAGAACTTGGGACAAAAACGAAAAGTGAAAAAAATCAAGCGCGGATAACCGCTAGAGATTGGTCTGAGATAATGGAATTGAAAGGGAGAAAAAAAAGAGGAAATGCAGGAAGAGCAAGAGAACTTTTAGCTATGGAAAGTGGAATTAATTTGGGCAAGGAACTCTGTAAAGTGAAATGGGAAGGCAGTGTTGTAGGGGAACTCCCGTTGGTTGGATAAATTTATAGCTGAGAACTACTGTACCTCCACAAAAAAAGATTTAATGATCTCTTTGATCCCCAAACTTTTTCATTTGATACTAAAATGGTCTTTGAACATTTTGGAGACCATTTTTATCCCTCAACAGCTCAACTTTTCATTTTGGCACCCAAATTGATCCTTTCTTTGACAGATAACAAGCCCAACACGTTAACTTTAGATTAAATCACGGTTAAATGCTTAATTTGGTCCCTCAACTTTATGAAATGCACATTTTTGATCCCTCAACAATTTTTTGCACTTTTTTGATCCCTCAACTATACAAAATGCACTCCGTTAGTCCTTTTGTTAATTTGGGCCGTTAACCCTACTTAGGTGGCATTTTTTATATTTTTTTTGATGATGTGGAGAGCAAAACTTAAAAAAGTGATGATATGCATAAAACTTTTGCCATGTCACATGCTACATGGCGAAAACGCACCAAATCCATCCAAATGGGTCTCACATCACCACTACCAATTGCTTCTTTGCCCATCGGTTATTGTTTCTATTCTTTCCATAAACGGTGTTCTTTCCATTTTCAAGATTGAAGTTCGACAAAACCCAGCAGATCTGGGTTCAATGTAACCCAGTAAATAGGTTCCATCGAACCCAACTCGATTCACTAAACTCAATTGTC